TGTAAACTGGGCACCGTTATCTGAAACAAGGACCTCTGGGAAACCCAACCTACAAAATACGTCGATTTCTTCTCATAAATCCAACCGATACTTCCAGTGTCTCCATCAAGATAGAGTTCGATAGACGACAACTAGTGCGATTCGAAGACTCTATTACAGTTGTGATTACTACTTCGTGATTATTGATACGTAATTCCCGTCTGTTCTGTTTACTACAACCCCTCAAGCATTCCGTGGCGTATCAGTACAAAAATTACATTCGTGACATATTCGCTGGAAATCCATTGATATGTGAATAAAACTGCATAATTTTTATACATTAACAAATGAAAAGGAGGATAAAAAAAATTGGTCATGGATTTCGGGAACGGGTTACCATGGTAGAATAAGTGCAGTATACAACTCTTTCTGCCGACGCAAGATTACTTGCAACAATTCATCGTAATCGATTCAACCGAGTTGAACATTTGCGCACTGTAGAGGACCTGATCAACGCAGTGTCGCGCGGTCAGCAACTGTTTGGCAGTTGTCTAATTTGAGCTAATAAAACTGGTGATAGGAGATAAGCTGGATTTTGGTGGTCCATCAAACAGCCAAATACAGCAGCACTACATATGAGTTAAAGTGGGAATAAGTCAGGGAATGGAGAACAAATGACCAAAGTGTGAGTTTCCTGATAACGGCGGCGGTATACAGGCCATAATTTAGGAAAAGATTTCAGCTAACCCCCCTTGAATCGTGCTCAATTAGCATGCTAATTGCTATTCCATTGGCCTCATTTGAGTGTCGACGAACATACACGGTAACTGGTAAATAGCATTTGAATAAGGTCGCAAATTAAAGCACTCGTTAACCGGAGAAGTGGTAATACATCCAGACAACCATTGACTTTAAGTGTTGTTCTTGCAGGTGGATTAGTTAATCACCTCTGAATGGAATATCGATCACGACTTACATTCTCAGAAATGAAATAAGAACAAACTGTCAGCCATTGGCCAATCTGTGCGGATCATCATGGCAATCGCTTTGAATAAAAACGTGAGTGCTCAGGGTAACTTTGAAGATTCAAAGTTCATGTATTCTGTGCCAACTACTCTGGGAAGCAACGTAAATATTTTCCTCCGAATTTCACATTTTGTGTAAAATGTTCCTTTTAGCTTCTCCAAAACGGAAATTTTGAATATAATTGATTCCATGCTTTGGTATTTCCAGTTCCTCAGATTACGGTTTTATTGTTTTATCATAGCCAGAATTGGTCTGTGTTGTGAACCAAACGGTTTCACTAAACATCAACACTTTGGGATTTTAAATAAATTCGAACGACCAGGTCAATTAACATGTGATTTTACACATTCCGGGAAGCCAAGTTTCTAGTCTTCGTCCTCATTGCATTATCCGACCTATCAGTCATTCCAGCATGCGTTCCGCAAGTCTTCAGTTCAGGTACTGGACCATTTTCCGAACTGTGCACTATCACAGTTGCAGGTGAACTGGTATTAAACAGCATCAAAGGTACTAAAAATGATTGATTTGCATCTGTACTTAACGCAACTGATCCATCGTTTATGCACGGTTTAAGGCCAATTTAAAATTGCAACCCACTTGGCTAAAGACTCTTCAAGTGATTGGTTGACGACCCCTTAGGATATGACCAAGAGCCCAACATCAGTAGAGTTCTTGTCATTTCTAATCGGGCCAGAATACTTGAAAGGTCCGTGTACTCTACGTTGACCATTAGGATTCATTTTGTTTTCCCTTCCTTAAAATAGACTCAGTCCCTAACTACCTTACATATTCTCACTCACTCTTTATGCGTTATGAGTTCGGCAACGATCAGTGAAGTTCAATTCACTGTATCTTGTTGTATCATGATGATGACGACGGTTAAATGGAAGTGCATCGTAGAATGATAAACTTGGCCGATTTGTATTCTAACCTTACTACAAGTCCAGTTTTAGGTTTAGGGGTAGACGTTGAGATGTAAGGTCTCTTTTATAAAACACAGCGACTTAAACAGACCCGACATATAATACCGTCTGAAGTGATTGAGGCACATCCCAAGAACCCCTGGACAAGATCTGCACTACCGTTTATATTATCTAAAACTGGATCAAACCGGAAGAAGCACCCGGGTGGGCAAGATATGACCTGGCTTAGAGGTTTGAAGTGAGATCGTGTTCGGATCAGGCCTCTAGATTGTGGCCCAAAGATTCAGATTNGGTCGGAGATAGTACGGCATACGGAACTGAATAAAACTCCATGGTGTGAATGCAGCTGTACATATGCGCAATCTCGAGGGTAAAACGTTCAAAGTTGCGTGCAGAAAACAAACAAAACTAGTTCAGTTTTTAGTTCCCTACTCTGAAACCAAATGATTTGTGTCTTGTTCTTATCAACAGATGGTTATTTTTGAGCCGTAGTAACAAAGAATGGTGTATATAGAGATATATAGTATTATGGATGGGATCTGAACAACGATCCCTACAAAGCTTATCGTGAGAAACGAGACTGGCTTTACTTGTCATTAGTCCTTCCCAAGGTTTGCCATATTTCGAACTTGACTTCTAGTTGTGAATATTAATATGTGAATTGGATTTGATTGTGCAGGAAAATTTACAGTTATGACTGAAAACCTATTTCGGTCGCAATATTCACACTTCATGGAAGAATGTTGTTGTTACAAACCTTTTAGAGAATGTTTTACGCCTTCTGCTTGCGAGAACAGGTTGGCACAGGACAGTGCATATACTCACACCTAGGTAAGGGATAAAACTGATTAGATGCTGTCCTTGAATTTACGCTATTTACGATGCTATGCTGATGTATTCGATCACCGTGGATTGGTTGTTAGCCTTCTCATGGGATTTTTCTGCATGCTATACTCGAAAGTCAATGTGCACCGCCTTCGTGTTTTCGGTTAGATTATAGTAGATGTAAAACCAAAACTTATTAGTAACCAGTTTATTTTTAACTGGGTTCGTTTTGTCTCCATTATTTGAAAGCCGGATAGAAAAATATATCAGTGTTATCACTGTCTAAACATAAGACTACGTACTTGCAAATGCAATACTATCTATCAATTTTCTGGGTCCACAGTGTCAAGCTAGAAAAACGGATTGCTTACAAGTTCGAAAAAGGCTATCATATATATTTATAGGAAGGCAGAGAGAGAAGTGAACATGGGGTCTGATGCAACCGGTTATGTTGGTCAACCAGCTCTCAACAGTGTAGGAAAATGTTTCAAGGAAATGGCATTTTTCAAACAGGACTGGATAGATGAAGGCATCTTATGAACTGTCAAGTAGCATTCGCTAAATGTGAACTAACCGTTGCGAATCAATGATATTGCTCATACGCTGATTGCCTGCTGTTCCCGTTGCCTGTTTCCTCAAAAACAGACATAATGGTACAGACCGCAATTGTTCAAGTTCAGATCAAATTCCACGTCTAACCCTAGGATAAAGATATTTATTTTCAATTCGAATACAATTCAGGCGAATAACAAGAGCCTAGACGGCTCCAGTAAGCATAGCACTGTCCAAATTTGTATGACGGGACAGATTCGAACAATGCAAACCGGATAAAGAGTGAGTGAATAGGTGTTTAACAAGAATCTGCATTGATGGTGGTGAGCATCCCGTGGATGGTCAACGGATTTTGTACAATAACAAAACCCATTAGTCAGAGTGAAAGAATGGCTCCTAAGGGATTAGATGCATGTGTGCGTATGAGGTGGCGGTAGTGGTAGTGATAAAGAATGGATGAAATACACACCTGCTACTATGTGCAATCTCACATAATCAAAATCAAATCAGTGGAGGGAATGAATCGAAACAGATGACTCGGTGTAGTGGTTAGTGGGGGTAAAAATAAAGATTATAATTACCATTATTATCAATAATGTCATAGTAATAATAATAACCTTGAAAACAATAACTGGAAATTGCAAAGAACAATTGAAACAAAAGTTAACGGGGGTGAGCGAGGAGGGGACGGAAGAGAGAGCTCTCAAAAGGGATGGAAGATTGGGGAGCAGTGAGAATGAAGTATCGCATCGGTACTCTTCGCTTAGATCTGATAGGAAAATGCTGAAGTCTGGATTAAAAATTTAGATTCCGTGTCCAAATGAACCGGTTTGCCCTCGATCCATGTGGACAGAACACGAAGCTGCGGTTTCGGCGCACTCAAAGCCTTTGGACAGAGAATGACCAAATCCGCATATGCGCCGGGGACGAGACTACCACGAACCAGACGCTTGTCCGAGTTCCAAGGTTGGTAAAGATGTAACCCTTGTGCAGGTCGAGTGGTAGCCGCCGACAATGCTCGACCAAGACCGGGCCATGGACTGTCGTCTTCCACATCCGGTAAATGGCTGCACACCTCGAGCCAAAAGTTACGCACACATACTGATAAAGGTGTGGTTCCACCAGCTAGGCACTGGGTCCCTGTAATGTATGCTCTGTGACAAAGCGAACAGAAATAGTAATAGTAGAGGNGTAGAGGTGTAGGCCACACACTGAAATAAAATTAAAATGTGAAAGGATCAAATAACTTCAGGGTAGGTTACAAGGCGCGGCACATTTCATGGGAAGCATTTTGCAAGTGTTAGGTAAATGAGAGAAATCGTTTAGATCTAACGTTCATCCGGGTACGCCCAGACCAGTTCAACCGGTAATCACTATATTTTCTCAATCGGTCTAACATCTGTCACACATTGCTGGCATATGACACGTTTCAAAGATTGACCCAGGTGTGTGAGCTTAAAAAAACAGCTGCACAGTTAGGCGGATATAATCGATCTGAGAGATTTCCGGCGTAAATGCACTCCGCCTTACGCTCTGTTAAATAAAACCAAACGAAAGTTCCGGGTTCAATCCTCAATCGGGTTCATAATGAATTCGTACCGCTGACAAAATTCAACGCAATCGGAGCAGCTGTGGAGTGCTTCCTGGCTCTTTAGTTCTCCTTTTATTTGTTCTGAACATGACGAAAGCAGTCAGGTGTAGAATGTTTCCAAATGAGCCAAAACCCTAAAGGGTAGTACTGGGATGAGTGAGTCACAATGTCTGAAAGAGATGGACATTATCGTATTGAGAGAGAGAAAGTAAAACAGTCAGATCAGCAGTCTGGTGGGTATTATGCTGGCGTTCTACCTGTCCCACTTCCGAGGCCCAGTTGGCTTGATGGATTCGCACTGTCCATGTGACCAAAATAGATCGAAACGACTGTATAGTTTTGCCTAGCTTTAAAGTTCACGCTTTTTACTTATAAATGACGAAATTAATCCAGAAAGGCGTGTTTGATCAACCTGGATTCGCATAGAAAAAGGCCTTGATGAGCTGCCACCACAGTGTCTTTGAATTCAACAGTGCATTGTTATCATCGGATATTACTTCATAAAGTATAGCGTTGAGACACTCGGTCTTTACTTCAAAATCAATTGGTCAAATTTTCAAGATTAAATGCTGTCCCACAGTTCCTTTAGTTTGGTCTCATCGTACTAACTGGCCTTGCCTTCGCTTCCGATATGCTACCTCTTATATGAGCTTGTCCGTTGAATTTTTCCACTCAGTTTGTGGCAGTTGTGGATTAATTAGTCCTAGGATATTACTGCCGGCAATTCTAACCGTTTTTTATTTATTTATTAGCTAACACTTAACCCAGTTAGTTGTGAGTAATAGTGTAGGATTGTTGCTATGGTTTCGAACTGACCATGCCATAGACTCCATCTTCACAGACAAACCTGGGTTCAGCGAGTCAATTGTACGCGCAGGAATCACTAGACTTGAGTTTCACCCTCATCAGAGCTCATCATTGAGGCATCTTTCTTAACAAGGTATGCCCGAATATAATACAATTACACATAATTGTTCATCCAAAACTATCAACTGGATGGATCAATTGATTTTACGTTCTTTTTCTATCTCACACAGGTCACAAGTGATAAAATCAATACCAAAATGCTGATATCCATTGATTGACTGTGTCAAGAGCCAATGTAAATCACGGAAACCAGATAAGCTATAAGCCTTAAGGTTTAGCTTGAATGCTGGTGTAGCCATACTCGACATGCTTTTGATACCGTCAAAGCGTTAAATGTTGTTACAAGAGTGAATTGATACAGCTCCGAATAGCACTGAGCAAGTAATAGAGGAGGTGGATAAATTTTGTTACTTAAACAGCCGTGTATCATATGTGGGATGTGTTATGGATAAAGT